CTAAGTGGGGCTGCAATCAGCAGGCTAGCGCGAGTGACAGCCCATGCAATAAAGGAATTCATGGTCGGGACGTCACTAGCGGCCATTTTGGGATACGAAACAGGGCCTGATTAACAATAATTTAGGTTTTTTTCTTTCGTGTCACAGACTACAGAGTCGTATTGGCTCTAAATAAAGTTATTGATTTAGAAGGAAGACAATGGAATTTTATCAAACATTGGCTATGGCTTGAGAATTTTTAGTATTGAATCAACTGATAAAATAATTTAATAGGTCTGTTTCTGCCTCAGTTTCTGCAGAAATCACAAACCAGTCAGACCTATTATCATTGGTTGAAAACAGTCAGAAAACTAATTTCAACCAATGAAAGTCCACTAATTTATTATTATTATTAAATTGACAAGAATGATAACAGCATCAATGACAACACTAAGAATACACTAAAATCACAGCATCTAAAATTGTATGCTGTGCTAAAATTACAGCTTAAATTCCACTCTAGATTGCACGTCTATGACCTCCACCCTCCACCAGAAATAAACAAGTAAAATAAAATTTCGGCGTCCCCGCCGTTCAATGACAGGATGGTGTTCCCTGATGGCGGCGTGCGCAGAAAAGATGCGCGTGAGAGTTAGCCTGCTGATTGTTATAGTAAAATCTGTTTTTTTTTTTAAAGATAAAAGTCAAACTAACATTATGTTGGCAATACAATGTAAAATTGTCAATGCTTTCAAATTTTTTATGTAGAAAAGGCTTGTGTTGCCAACATAGTTTTGACTTGGGGAATTATCTTTAAAAAAAAACGCACTTTATATGCTGTGGTAATGTTCAAGTTAAATCGTAGACACCTGCTGCAATAAATCAACCACCTCATCATAAAAGCTAATATGGGATGTTCGGGCTCTATGGATTTTGCCCATTTTTTGATATGTTGTAGAGGATTTAGCAACCTTTAAATGGGACGAAATCTTGTAGGTATTACGGTCTTTGAGATATGAGTGTTGAAAGATGAACTTTTTTTCGACTTTTTGTGTGGAGAGTATACGAAATACTGGTATTTGTCAGTCAAAATATTGACAGGTTCACCTATTTTATGTCACTCACAAATGTCAATATAGGCTAAGGCCGGGACCACACTGGCGCCAACATTGATCCCAGTGCGGTCCCGGCCTTAGCCGATGTTGACATTAATTAAATAAATAGTATATTATATACCTAGGTAGAGAAGTTGGTCATTATATACCGAGCGCTTTTATGAACCGAGGCGCAAAGCGCCGAGGTTTATAATGCGTGAGGTATATAATGACTTTCTCTACCGAGGAATATATAGAATTTTTTTTACTACTGCTAGTAGAAAATAAAAAAATTGCTTAAAATCTGTGCTCTAATTATTTTTTTTTTGAACGCCCTCTTGAAAGTGCTGCCCTCTATCAACAACATGATAACTTCCTATGTACCTACAGAAACCTGTATTTTGTTTTAAATTGACGCATGAAATTGAAATTGAACCAATAGAAACATGACAATATCCTTGCGTCATGACGTCATTTTCATTATTGACCTAGGGACTTTTTCATTATTTTCATTATTCACCTAGGGAGAGAAATTCAATTTTTTCCTAGAAAAATAGATTGAATAATGACTATTTCTCAGGTAAGTAGTAAAAAAAATAAATTAAAATATGTAGACCTGTCAATATTTTGACTGATAAACACCATTAGCACCAGTATTTCGTATACTCTCCACACAAAAAGTCGCAAAAAAGTTCATCTTTCAACGCTCATATCTCAAAGACCATATTACCTACAAAATTTCGTCCCATTTGAAAAATGTTAAGGATTAAATCCTCTATGACATATCAAAAAATGAGCAAAATCCATAGAGCCCGAAAATCCCATATTAGGTGTGCATTATCCTTTCCAACCTTTTCAGTCAGGGCCGGCCCTTAGGATTTTACCTGGCATGTGAATTGAATATAGAATAGATAATAGTATATTATGATATAAGTGTATAAGAGGGCATTTAAAGCACGCGACATATTTCAAAACACGACGCGCAGCGGAGTGTTTTGTAAGTCGCAAGGGCTTTAAATGCCCTCTTATACACGCATATCATACGCTATTTTTTATTACGAATGCATCATAATCTCAAAAATGTTGTTAAAGTGTTCATTCATTTTGATAAGTAGTAATTTAAATGGCAGGTAAATATCTAGGTAATGAAGGTAGATCGAACGTTTCTATAGCAAACCTTTGAAAAGGTAGACGCATCATAAACATCATTTTATGTACGCTGCAGCGTGCGATAATCGTTGATTATGATGCATGCGTAATAAAAAATATTATTTTTCTACTACCGTGCGTAAAGTACTCACTTTACGCACTATTCAGAAGACGTAAAATTCCACTTCACGCACTAGTGCGTAAAGTAATTCACTTCACACACTGGTGCGTAAAGTAATGTCAATGACAGATGTTGACACTGTCACTAGTATTTTTCTGGTAAATTACTTCACGCACTAGTGCGTAAAGTGAAAATACTTCACGCACTAGTTCGTAAAGTATTTGTCTAAATCTATTTTTTCACACATATTTCATTGGTAGTAGAATAAATTTTGTATGCAATACGTACGTAAAGCACTTTTTTTTCACTCATGTGATTGTCGCACTCGCCTTCGGCTCGTGCTTCAAAATTCACATTCGTGAAAAAAGGTTCACTTTACACACTTGTTGCATAAATAACTATTGTAGATAATGTAATAATAAAATAATTATATTCCCTATATTTTTCTTATTTTCCAATAATTCTTCAATAAATTATTCAACAGGAATCCCGAGACAAAACCCTTTTGGGTAATAAAATAAATGGCGTCATATGTTGCCGCACATGCGCATTGTGTTCCGGCCATGATAAATACCAATTAAATACCTATTAAATACCAAATATTACCAAAAAAAATACCATAATTACCAAGTATTACCAGAAGTACCACAAAAAATACCATAATCACCATAATTACCAAAAAAAAATACCAAAAATACCTATAAATACCAATAATTACCAAGTGCTTGTACAATAAAATACCAAGGTGACTTACCCCTCGCTCATAGGTTTATTAATATGATTTAGATTTCTGAAAACTTTGAAAGATCTTTTTTTTTTTCTATTAGAGATAGAAAGCTGAAATTTTCAGCGATTCTTATCCTAGTAGAGGACCACAATCCCTGAAAATTTCAGCTCATTTGGACTTATAGTTTTCGAATTTTATCGATAATTCAATTTTTTTGAGTGCCTTCTTTTATAGATTTCAGCTTCAAATCTGAGAATAATTTAGTGTATGGAGCTTGGAGGGTCCCAAATGATCATTTAGACATGAAATCTCAACATAAAAAAAATTGAAATTTCGTCATTTTAGTAGATATTAACACGTTCGCGACGTCATGCGCCACCGGTGGCACATGACGGCTGATCCCAGCAACCGTCATGTACCACATGTGGTACACCATGCCCTGCAAATCTAATCCTATTTAAAAACGCGACGGTTGCATAGAAAGCTTGGAAAACAAGGCTGTACATAAAGGTGGTACATGACCCGTGGTACATGCGGTTCTAAATCGGACATCTCTTACATTGATTTCTATGATTTTTGTCTACCTACTAAAATAACAGAATTTTAGTAATAGTTTTAATATTTTTTTTATTTAGGCAACACCCAGTATATAGTTTTACATTACTTAATTAAATTCTAACTGATAAAAACTTCTGATAACATGCCTTTTACATGGTGGTCACCGGTGGTACATTACGTCCCTGAGAAACAAATATTAGTCACAGCCGTCATGTACCACCGGTAGTACATTTTGAAAAACAACAAAAAATTCCAAAAAAACTCAAAACAAGTATATAACACTTGATTGAACACAAATACACTATATTCACATGTTGAACAAAAACAAAATAAAATACGGCTGTGCATTAACATACCCGAAATCGGCTACGTCGCGAACGTGTTTAAAGTAAATACCTTATGATTAAGTTTCCTTGAAACTTTGAGAGATCATAACTTTTTTTATTAGAGATAGAAAGTTGAAATTTTCAGCGATTTTTATCCTCGTTTTTATCCTAGTAGAGAACCACAATCCCTGTGAATTTCAGCTCATTTGGACTTAAAGTTCCAGAAATAAAATCGTGTTAAACAATTTGGGGTGAATTTATCAATTTTTCTGACGTACTTTTTGCAAAGATTTCAGCTGCAAATCTCAGAATAATTCAGTGTATGGAGCTTGGAGGGTCCCGAACAATCATTTAGACAGAAAATCTCAACACAAAAAATTTGAAATATCATCATTTTAGTACGAGTTTTAGTAAGTATATTAAGGTAGCAGCTAGTCCCCTAGGATTAAGATTTGTGAAAACTTTGAAAGATCATAACTTTTTCTCTATTAGAGATAGAAAGCTGAAATTTCCAGTGATTCTTATCCCAGTAGAGGACCACAATCCCTGACAATTTCGGCTCATTTGGACTTATAGTTTCAGACATAAAATCGCAGTAAGCAATTTGGAGTGGATTTAATGAGGGATTTATCAATTTTTCAATTTTCTTGAGTGCTTTCTTTCCTTTCCATAGAATTCAGATCCAAATCTCAGAATAATTTAAGTAGTGTATGGAACTTGGAAGGTCCCAAGTGATCCTTTACATGCAAAATCTCAACATAAAAAAAATAAATTTCATCATTTTGGTACTGAAGTAGCTACCTTATGATTTTGATTTGTGTTGGATAAGATAAAATATAAAATTGGAGTGACTGAAAAAGCCTCCCTATTCCTGGGGCTTGTACACATGGTGTCAAATCAAATTTAAATCATTTCCACATAAAAACTGAGGTTTATTTTAAAGTTTGACCTTGTTGGGGTTACAAATGGTTCAATAAAATAGAAATAAACATCAAATTATTTAAAATCAATTGCAAAAAAAAAGTGCATAAAAACCCTCTACTTACCTTGCCGAAAAAACGTCCCTTGGTATAGTTTAATTTCTTGGTGGGATCGTAGATAACCGACGGGATATGATTGTCCTCTTCTTTGGACATCTTTTAATTGAGTTTTTCGCTTAAGTTTTAGTTATAAAATTAATGAAAGAGGCACTTTTATGGGACGTTACTTTTCGGTTTCGAATTGAATAGAAACGGCTGTTGGTTGACTGTTGTAACTCAACTGTCGGCTTGTCAAAAAGAAAAATTTCGTATACTCGAACCCGATTGGTCGAAAATTAAACGGTCGGTAAAGCGCACTACAGTTTCCTGCTTTTTTTTAAACGTAAAGGCGTTTTCGATTTGAATTTAATCACTTAAAAAACAAACTTCACATAAAACGCTCACAAACGAACGTCTCAAAGCAGGAAATGTTGCCCCGAACAACACAAAAAAACAAACCTATTGGTTTGTTTTGATCTTTTCTTCAAAACGGTTCTTGTTCTTTATGAAGGTTATCAAGCAAATATGAAATTTGAAAATGAAAGTCTGTGATTGGTCGAAAATAGCCACAGCTGCTTGACAGTTCAATATGACTTCACTTCTTATAAGGGGCTTTCGAAAATATCAACGAGTGTGCGATACGATATAGAGCAAGATCCCAACTGCCTGTTTAAAATCGTTTTGGATGATTTTTTTAATGCGAATTTTATTGTTCCGCAAATAGGTGCTTTCCGGTGACCCACTTAAGTTACTCCTGAGCAGCTCAGGAGTGTTCCACAACTACTTCGCGCGTTCCAGTGCAGATTGTCGTACACTTGAACTACTTATTTCTTAGAGTAAGCGCGCACTAGCGATTTGTTGTCGTGCGATAATAGGCTCGTACATAATATTTTTTATATTACGCATGCATCATAATCAACGATTATCGCACGCTGCAGCGTGGATAAAATGATGTTTATGATGCGCCTACCTTTTCAAAGGTTTGCTATAGAAACGTTTGATCTATACCATTTCCAGGATTATTTCACAATAGTGAAATTTGATTTCAAATTAATGAAAACTAAATTCACATCAGTGAAATCTAATTTCGCATCAGTGAAATCTAATTTCGCATCAGTGAAATCTAATTTCGCTTACTTAAATGAAAATTGATTTCAAAGTAACGAAAACTAATTTCTCACAAATGAAATTTGATTTCACATTTTTGAAAATAAATTTCAAACTGACCCTAATATTAATACTCATTTTTCAAACATTTATTATTCCAATTTGAAAAAAACATCAACAACGGTATATATTTCACCCTAATGAAATAAACCCACTGAGTTAAGATAACATAAAATACAATCGTGAAACAACAATAATTATTATGAATTATTTAAATAAATTAAACTTCAGTTTGGCAAATCACGTGGAAAGGTATAATGCAGCTATCTCAAGAGTGAGAAGACTCAACTGAAGTCCAATTTATTTAAATAACTTATAATTATTATTGTTAATTGTTTCATGATTGTATTTTATCTAAGTGAAGTTTGTGTCCTATCGGTATCTAATGAAGGGGGTGATTCGTCGGTTAGGATTAAAAAAAAATAATAAAAAATTTGTCTTTTCACAATTTCATCAATGTATTGTGATTTTGTTATGTGCAATCGAATGTTCCATCCTGAAAAATCTTGCAGTATTTTATATAATTCTAGCCACATAATTTTTTAAGTACCTACAAGGTATGTAAACTTCAGTTTTTTGTTAGAACTTTTTTGAGGTTCCTAATATATATTCTAGCCCTGATGAAGTCCTAAACTTTTGGGCGAAACGTTGACAAAGACCTACCAGGCCTTTTATTATTATTTTTTTGTCCTAACCAACGAATCACCCCCTTCATTGTATTTTATGTTATGTGAACTCAGTGGGTTTATTTCATTAGGGTGAAATAAATAACATTTGTTGATGTTTTTTTCTAATTTAAATAATAAATGTTTGAAAAATTAGTATTAATTAGGATCAGTTTGAAATTCATTTTCAAAAATGTGAAATCAAATTTCGTCTGTGAGAAATTAGTTTTCGTTACATTGAAATCAATTTTCATTTGAGCGAAATTAGATTTCACTGATGCGAAATTAGATTTCACTGATGTGAATTTACTTTTCATTAATTTGAAATCAAATTTCATTTGTGTGAAATAATCCTGGAAATGGTATAAATGAATGAACACATTTAATTTTTTTTTGAGATAATGATGCATTCGTAATAAAAAATAGCGTATGATATGCGTGTATAAGAGGGCCTTTAAAGCCCTTGCGACTTACAAAACACTCCGCTGCGAGTCGTGTTTTGAAATATGTCGCGCGTGCTTTAAAGGCCCTCTTATACACTTATATCATAATATACTATTTTATTGCATATTCTAAAAGAGCGTGTTGAGCTTAGCAGTTTCGCAAAATTTCCTAATTTCCTGAGCCCTTGTTCATATTTATACATATAAAGTATCAAAATACTCCAAATTTGAAACACGCGGTGACGTCACTGCATCTCTCATGGCGTGGCGGCCAAGCAAGTTTGTTTTGAATATGTTTTCATGCTCATTTTAAATTATTTTGCTTAGAGTTTTGCTCGCAACTTTAATTTTGATTATTTAATAAAATATTTGTTGACTATTTTTTTTTTTATTAGGTACCTAAACTATTAAATCGGGCAGAAACTAGATATTTTTTTTTTGTGTTTTTTGGCCCATGTGTGTGCGCCACGCCATCTTGAGTGTCACGTGGTTTGGAGCATAGAGAAGTTTGGAGGATTGCCTAATACTCTTTGAATATAAAACTACAAGAAGGAGCATAACTTCAAATCTGCGCGACCAAAATATGTGGAGGTTGCATATGGCCGACTAGTATTTCCGGTTTGGCAGTGGTGTATATTTATTTGAATATGATTGTCAATATTATGACGCACTCTTTTCGCACTAATCCCAGTGCTTATTATCACATAAAACCTCTGAAATCCATTAAACATCCACTTGAATGAGGACACAGCGAACCACCAAAACAAATGATGAGTCCATACTTGGAGGCTCAATATGGCCATTTCCGTCCCTGCGTTGTTTGTAGTGACAGATAGAAAACGCTCCTTCCTGTAGAAGCTGTGCTAATACTAGAAATATGGTATAGGCCAGACTTCAGAAATACGTTGGGATTTGTAACATATACGTCTTCAAGATGTCCTTAAGATATAGTGACCAGATCTTGAAAGTCCAAAAGCGGGACAAAGTCACAAAGTTCTCAGAAATCTCGTTTTTATTTTCAGTTTTAGTTTTTTTGGCTACCTGGGTAGTGATAAATAATAGTATTATACCTATAATGATTGTGGTAACTAGGTTATTACCGCACGCAAGAGAAACTTGTAAACCAAGCCGGTGAAGCGAGTTTTGCAATCTCTGAGGGCGGTAATAACCTAATTACCATATATGTTATATGCAGTATTTTATCTACAAAGCGTGCGGTAACAAAATATCCGGAAGTATTTGAAAAATTATAGACAATAAAATTGCGTCTGTCACCTTTGATGAGCAGGTAGAGCGTTCGGTAATAACATTTACCTACGAGCGTGCGGTAAAGTGCACTTTACCGCACGTATTTGCAAATGGAAAGTATCACTTTACCGCACACTACCTATGCGATAAAGTGCACTTTACCGCATAGTGTGCGGTAAAGTTAACTTTACAGCATATATGCGGTAAAGTGGTCTACAAAGTGTGCGGTAAAGTAAAATTTGATATTTTTAATCAGAAATCCTCTCTTTTTCAGAAAATGGATTTTTGATCATTTCTATATCTAATCTAATTTCATTAAATTAATCTGATTCAATATTTAATTTTATCAATGCCTTTTTTTAGAGATGTAGATGCTCACAGGTAAAGGTAAGGGCTAAATATTAATATACTACCTCCTTTTTTCGCCCCCCAAACCCCCCGTTTTATATACAGGGTGCCCGTTTTAAGTGATACCACTATTGCTATCTCGGAAACGGTAAGAGATACGAGGTCGGTTAAATTAGAAAAAAGTTGCCTTTTTTGATGCCCATTCAAGACTCGTTTACAGTGTTGCCGAATTCCTTCTAGTTTAGGAAATACAGGGTGATTTCTAAGAAACGCCTAAAACGATTTCATCAATTATTTTGAAACCATTGATTTTCGGGACACAATTTAAATTTGAAAGTTTTATAATTTTTATCGCTTTACAACATGACATCTTCAAATTTTAAATCCGACGTTTCGTGATCGAGCTACCAACATCAACTTAATTTTTTTTAAATACGGACCTGGATTTTTTATGACATTTTTAGAAAGCTCCCTTTATTCCCTTTTTAACGATATACCTCTTAAGTATGATTGGCCGACGTTTCTGCTTTTAAAGGTGATCATCAGTGATTTTTACCAAAATTTTACCTTAATTCGGCCCTTCAATTCGTTATGTGTAACAAAGGCGGTCTAACAAGTACTCTCTTCCTTTTATTTAGAACACTTAGAATCATCTAACAATATCGAAAATAATGACTTACTAATTATTATTGTAAATGTAATAATTATTATTGTAAATGTAAATATGTACTCAAATTGAAGTCCATTATTCCTTAAGCATCATCTTCAACTTTTCACAATTTTTTTTTTAATATTATTTAATATGTATTGTTTTTCATGCAACCGTCCGCGAAATTCAATTTCGCGGCCGCCACACCGTGGTGTGTATAGCATGACCGCGAAACTTTGCAGCATTCTTGAGACTATCTTGCCTCGGCCGCAAGCAACTAAAGCATTTCGCGGCCTTGGTATACAAATACAGATCGTTTGACCATGGTTCAAACTTGACCTTGAAACTTGGAAAAAAAAGGGTTGTCGTAGATTAATTATTCATATTATGACATTCAATTTTTTTGACAAATTATTAATGACTTCTGGTTCAAAAACCGACGAACGTTTTTGACGTCATTGATTTCTTTCAGTCAATTTCTATTTGTTGAAAAAAAAGGCAAATTATGTCAAAAGTATGAACCCTGGTGAAACAAAGTTTACATAACTATTATTTATTCTAGCACATGCATCCCTTATCCTCTCTTTAAATTCTTCTAATGTCTCTGGTATTTTCGTAAACTCCATAATGAAAATCACTGTACTCTTAATTTTAATTTAATTAATTTAACAATTATTATAAAATGAATAAATGATAA